GTCATTGTCCATGGGGACACACACATAGACTATCACAAATACAACCCGCTATACAGGGTTACGCTAGTGCAAGGCTATGAGTGTATGTGTTATTATTATTAATAAATTGATGTTGTTAGCAACACCCAGTGTTGCTTACTAGATACAGAGTATTACATAATGGAATAATTAATGATTAAATGTTTGCAAAACTGGGCTTTCATTAAACGTTGTAGATTATAGAAAAATTGGATTTGGAAAAACTAACCTGTGTGCGAAACTATTTATTTGTACAAACACGCATACAGAAAAATTCGTGAGGTCGCTGGTTCGTTCCGTGGTTTAGTTGGCATACCGTCGAATCCGGCCGGATCGAAGGAATTTTTTCCGAGTGTTCGATCTTGGTATTAATAATTATAACAAAGTGATAGTAGTTTATCGGACAGTGCACGTTCTGTTATGGATAAAACAAAATCATAATAAATTTCTATTAAACCGTTATGTGTAAAATTTTTTTATCACAATCCAAGAGAACTTGGCGCTTTTTTATACGTGCCTTTATATACAGTTTTCACTGATTCCTATTAATTATCAACTACAGTGAGGTGACGTTTCAATGGCGTTATAGAGAGAGCTGTGAATGTTTCTTTTTGTTTGAAGCCGTTATGTGGCTTTGCTTACTTGGTACCGTGGTAAGAAGATTTTGTTAATTAGATGCTTAGTTAAATTATAGTGGTTAGTGCCAATAGGGTATAAAAATGAGAATGACTATCGAGAGACATGGTAACCGTATATATATACTGCCACGCAGAGGTCCCAGGGTCGATTCCCGTGCCGTGACAAATATTTGTATGGCATACATTTATTTCTCTCGTGAGTTTAGGTGTAATTTGTGGTTGTCTATGGGCCGTATTCTAGAACTGTACTCAATGCTCAAGTCAGGATTTGAGTATGGTTTAAAGCACTCGAAATCATACTCAAGTCCCTGCCATTAGGGTCGTATTTCCAGTACTTGTGTTTCCAGTGCAATCCTGACTTGAGCATTGAGTAGAGTTCTAGAATACGACCCTGAGTGTGTCATGGCACCCGCGACACAGGGTTTCTCTAGTGCGAGGCTATGAGTGTGTAAATAATAATGAATTTTTAAATGGGAGAGGCGGTATATCCCGGCAATTATTATTATTGTTAAAGATAGAATTATCTCAATAAAATTGCATTCATACATTTAAATCGAGCAGGTAATCAACTGCTCATTTTTCTTTGCTGTAACACGCACCGTGGCAAACGATTTTGCACTATGTACGTTGAGCTACATCTAACAATGTACAATTTGGCAAATTTCTTTAAAGCAATTTGTACCTTACGTCATTTACATACTGTACAAATTTGATGTTTAAAGATGACATTTCGTAGCTTTACTTTCTCAAACTCGTATCTAAAAGCACAAAGTTACTGAAATACTCAAAAATGGATTGTATATACAAATTTTGCAGGCTGCTTTCACGTGACATTCCCTTCATATTTAGACACTGGCTTTTACCTACTCTTAAATTAATGCATCCAAATTATAATTGATAAGAAGTATAAAATAAATAGAAACTTTTGCCGAAAAGATACCAGTTTGAGAAAGTAAGGCATCGATTTGTAGTCTTAACAATTTTAGATATGGACAAAAACACAATCGGAATAAAGATTTTCTTTGAACAAATAAGTCATTTAAGGCGATGGGAAAACTTAACAAAAAAAATTTCCCACGCTGTTTCTACATTAGCCTTCAGGTGCGAACATTCGTTAATATAATTAGTAGGGCTTTCAAACGTACACTGGGCCGCAGTCAAGTATTAAGGCTCTGTTAAGATGACAAGCGTTAGGAGTTAGACGCGTTAAACTCGCATCAACATGTTACCTGCGGTTACTTAGGAATAAAATTTGTGTACGTGCACTAGGATACGTGTCAAAATTGCCACACTCGTATGTACCGGCCTTAGAATTAATTGTAAGAATGCGAATCATACGTCAAAGTATAGGGCGTTTATCACATGAAATATTATAATAAACTTATAATAAAATAAAATTTAATAAAAAAATTGTATTGTTAAATTAAAATAACTTTGTAAATTTCTTTTAAAAATTTAAAATAAGGTGTTTCATTAAAACTTTTGTAACAATAGTAAGAAATTTGAAGGTGTGCATTAATATTAGACATCACTGGTTGATGACATTAACATCTCAGTCACTGGTGATCATGGGACTTATAGCCCCTCACTAGGGAAACCCTGTATCGGGGTTGCCATGGACACACACTTAGACAACCACAAATTACACCCAAACTCACTAGAGAAATGTGGACCATATAAATATTTCTCCTGGTCCGGGAATCAAACCCGGGATCTCTGCGTGGCTATAGTAACCGCGAACGGTGGCCGAAGCCACGGAGGCACTTAAGTAGTGTAGTACTTGTATGGCTTACATTTCATTCTCTCGTGAGTTTGGGTTATATTATTATTATTAATGAAACCATGAAAAGATTTAGGCGCCATGGTTGACACATTATTACTTGTCATCATCCTTTTATGTTGCTTATGTTGTTTTTCGTTTTTTTTTTTTTGCAGTGAGTTTTGTGATAAACAAAAATTTATTGCCCTTCGCCTATTTTCCTTCGCCTTTAACGAGAAATTTGCTACTAAACATTTGGCTGGGTCGGTAAATTACATTTTACTGAGTCACGACAAAAATGTCAATTACCGCAGTTAGTCAGCAGGGAGACGAAATAATCTTACTCCAAATCAACGTAACGGTATCACCGAACGTTCACTTACCTGAAAGAAAAAAAATAAAATTAACAAATAAAAATAATGAAATAAACAGACATTCGCTAACTGTTTAAAAGTAATAAAACAAGCATAAAAAGTCTGTATACGAACTGTTGACCGTCATAATCGATTTAATTAAAATTGAATCGAAACAATTTAATTTTTTTGTAAGAAACATGAATTAAGGAGAATCGCCAGAGGAGAAACGGGAATAACTATTTACTATTGAGCAACAGTCTTCCAAAAAATATGTAATACACCTCACGATATTGTTTAAAGAATGTGCTAATTTGTTACACGATAATATGTACTTTACCCGATTATATAAAAATTGTGGAATTGCTAGATTTGAACGCATGCATCATCTAATTTAGGCAATGGGTGAACTTAACGCGGGAGTGAGAGGGAATGAGTGTGCAAGAGAGAGGGACGATTCGAAATTATAGAAGAGAAGACGAGAGCGATAGGTTTTGTTTTATATGGACGACGTACGACGGAACATGTTTCAGACCTTATCCCTTTTCATTGATTATCCCACATTCACGGAAGACATTCAAGGACGGTTTAAAAAAGGTGGAAAAGAAAAAGAAGTACACTAGCCGTAACCTTAGTGGTACCGCCCCGACTGGCCCCAACCATTTATAACGTCCAGCGGTACCGACGACGTTGCTATACGTGTCACGACTTTATTGCTCCACAAAGTCAGCGGATTTGTGGAGTACATACGGGTGAAAGCCAAAGCTGCCCTGAGAGTCGAGCAGTTGGAGTCCCGTCACAAGGTGAATTTAAAACATTTGTGGTGAGAATACCAACTCAACACTTTCTCGACTTTCATGAAGGAGGATTTTTGGCCGAAGGGTATCATGTTCCGGCGTTTCCGAGTAAATAAATAAATCGTTTTTATTATATTATTATGACTGTTAGTCTATAAGGTATGTATTCAAAAACAATCTAGACTAACTCTAAAACTTATTATTTAAGAAAAAATATATAACTTTGCACATTATTTTTATATGGAAATATTTCTTTTTAACAACTATACTAATAACGAGAACCAGCAAAATTTTGGTTTTCAGAGGCCCCGCTGCCCCATCAGTCATACTTTGTTTCATGTAATTCATATTATTTTTACGACTTCCGTGTGATAAAAGCATTTTTGACATAATGACCACATGTGGCGTCATTACCCCGTCACCTGGAGACATAAGTTGATAAGTCCCATAGTCCCATATGCTTGTAATTTCATCAGCGCCTATAGCCTTCAAAACCGGAACGCAGTAATGACTACGGAAGACTACGGTAACTGCAATGTACGGTACGGTAGCAGAAAAATATAAAAGTGTAACAAATCAAGCGACTGATCGAACGATCCAGTCGCGCTCTGTTTGATTTGCCGGCCAACGGTGGTCATCCTCAAATCAGTTCTGCGTTCGCGCACTTTACTGTACCAATTAGTTTTTTACTTATTTTCACTCCATTTTTTTCAATTTTATCTAATTCCACAGTGAGTCATTTCGAGAATTCTCTCGAAATTTCGCGGCACAGTTTTAATATTTTTTGAACTTTGTCACTAACCGTGCGATATGTGAGATTTATATTCTAAAGTTTATATTTTACATATAAGACTCATACACCAAATTAAAAGATTTTTAATCACATGCAACTCATAAAAATAATAATTCATGAAAAATTTTTGTACGGACGGCAGCATACCAAGCTACACATTGCCGGATCTTTCCGTTCTCCGTTACTTTGGAGGCGATATTCGCACAAAAGCATATAGCTCGATGTTCTATTAACTGTACATGTGAAATTTTAGAACTCTCTTATTTAAGCATAGAAAAGTTATCGATCATTTATAGAATCTTTAAATGTCCTAAAAAGTTGTCATTTTCTATCACTAGTCCGAAATTACATTTTCCAGAAATAACGTTTGATCGAAATTTCATAACCTCGAAAGTAATTTTGAGAGGAAAATGTTTTTAATTTTAAATTTTTTTTTTCTAACGGGGGAACTGCTGTTGATGAACTGATGTTGTGGGCGTCGTGGGATCCCGTAGATTCTCCACTACAACGCCCCCGGCCACCTTGACTTCTGCCAAGGTTCCCACGCTAGAGAGGGGAGAGTCGGACGCCTGACCCATCTTCCAGACAGGTGAGACCGTGCAATGCGGGCAAGGGATCCCCGTCCATTGTCCGCTGGTCTCATTAGGGAATTAGGCGAGCAGCGAACTGCGTTCGCCTTCTTCCCCGCCGTCTGCACCGGAGCGGGTTCGCGTCGACAGTGTCTTCGCGTGCCCGCTCCGCGGCCTCTTTGTGCGAGATGACCTCCTCGCAAAAAAAGACCACAGCCTCCCACGATTCTTCGCCGCTCAGCATGTTAGCTACCACGCTTGGCAGTGAGAAATCTCCTCCTATGGTCGCTACCAGAGTGTGGCGTTGCGCATTCCAACGATTGCACACCTCTAAGGTGTGCTGCGCCGTGTCGTCCGCGTCGCCACACTCATGGCAGGACGGTGAGGTCTCCCTCCTGGCTACTTTATGCAAATAGTGCCCGAAGCTGCCATGCCCGGACAGTAGCTGCACAAGTCGATATGTTAAGAGCCCATGTCTCCTATCAACCCACTGGTCGAGAACTGGGCGGATCGCCTCTATTGTGCGAACACCGTAGGGCGAATCCGCCAGAGTAGTTTTCCAGCGGTCGCGCATTCGTTGCGCCGCCATCCGTTTTCTTTTAAACCTAACCGAACCTAATCGTATCTTTGCGATAAACATTCAACATATCCTGAAAGAACAGCTGTTTCATTATAATTCGGTTTTCGGTGAAAATTCGAAGAAACGTTATTTCGGACAAAAAAAATTTCGAGTTTGTCATAGGTTACCATTTTGAAGATTTAACCTTATTTCACCAAGGGTGTATTTTATTCATTTATTTCTTTATTTCATTATTTTGTCAATGTCTCAAAAAATTACGTCACCACTTTATAAGTCGCTGTATAAGTATGCAATGTTATTATTGTTTGTATTGTGTTATGGGTACTATTCGTTATTCAATACTTACCAATCTTCAAAGTTAACATGTTCAAACCATTTAAGAATCTATCATAGTACCTACATCTACCATAGAAATTATTTAAGAGTAATTTAAGAGTAGTAATAAAATACGCCGTGTGCATAGAACACGGCGTATTTTATACGCGCCGCAGACGCGCTGTATTCGCGTGTATGTATTGCGCATTTTGATAAAACGATAGTTTTAATTTTAGTTTTGTTTGTTAATTTTAATTAGTGAAATGCAACAACTACGTGAAATTATAAGTGTAAACTCCAGTGGAATATATAAGCTTCTTGCTCGTAACGCGATGTTTGCGCGCGTTTCAATTTATTCAAACACAGATAACTTACGCGAAAATAAACACAGATAATTTACGGCGCCTTAAACGCATCGCGTGTAAAATATTATAAATGCAAAAGTAACTCTGTCTGTTACGGTTTCACGCCTAAACCGCTAAACAAATTTTGATAAACTTTGGTATAGAGATAGCTGGGACCTAGATGAAGGACATAGGCTACTTTTTGTGACAAAAATAAATCTTACAGGGTGGAAATAGGAGATGAAAGTTTGTATGGAAAACCAAAAAAATATGAAAATTAGTACAGTGCGGTACGCCAGTGCAAGCACCTGCTTATTCTCCGCAGACGAAATCACGGGCACCGGCCAGTATAATCGTAAAGTAATTCGTAAAATGAAAGTAAACTGCCTCCGTGGCCGAACGGTTACCATGCTGGTCTGCCACGCTGAAGTACCGGGTTTGATTCCCGAGCCTAGAGAAATATTTGTATAACCTACATTTATTTCTCTCGTGCGTTTGGGTGTAATTTGTGGTTGTCTGTGCGTGTGTCCATGGCACCCGCGACACGGGGTTTACCTAGAGCGGTGACTCATAGCCCGGTGTGCGTTATTTTTATATAATTGAAAAATCCTACTAAATAGACTTTAGCTACATTTTTTTAAAACCAACGGTGACCGCTGTCCTGGCGCCATTTTTCGATATGCTATATTGTTTTTTTTTCTCATAAGTGTGTGGAGGTGTTATTTAATTTATTTAAAGCAATACAAATGGGATGCAGTCGTTTTCTGTTGCCCTTACTGATCTTTGAAAGCAATCAACAAGCCGACTATAATAGGCCAAAACGTCTGCACATCTAAAAAAACCCAAGCTCATAAAAAAAACCCACGGTTCATTACCGCTACACTATAGGAACTCCTAGTTCCCACACAACCTGTAGTTTTACTACAAGGATAACCCGTTTAGTCAAGTTGCCAGTCAAGTTGTAAGGCTACTTGCTATTCTAGTAACTAAAAAATAAGTCACACATAACGGGTTCGGCTTGTAATGATAATTGGCAATCGATATAGGGTTGTTCAAGTTAATTTCGACGTATGGGAACATTTTTTTAAGCCTAAAAAGTGTTAGTCTTTTTAGTACACATAAAAATTAAAAATAATATACAACAGAGTAGCAATGACATAATAAGTAATTTAACTGTAATAAATGACAACTCTAATGAAGGCAATTTGAATCACAAAAAGTAAAACCAATGTGAAAATGTCAAGAACAGTGCAGAAAAAAATATAATGGACAATAAAAAGGCAAAAAAAAGTACATATATTTGGATAGATACCAGATGATAAGATACGACAGTTTTCTTGGAAGCATCATAGAAGAGGTCCAAAGAAAGGGAGACAGAGAAAGACCGAGACGAAGTTATTTAGATCTAATAAGGAATAAGTTAATGCCCTGTTGTATCAGAAATTTAAAGCTCTCCTTAAGTAAGAAGAACAAAGCAGAATAAACATAGTATCATCAATGCCTGATAACTTAAAGTCCTTTTATAATTATTATATCAAAAGTAGTATTAATGTAATTATTAATAATTTTGACAAAATAAAAATAAGCTATGAGGTTAATCGTCACAACCACGGCAGCAGTAGAGCTCCTTGTGAAAGAGTTCTTCGAGGGATGTCCTACCTCCTTGCCTGTTTCTACCGCCAAGCAGAAATGTGAGCATTACTGTAAATGTAAATTACAGGCACGTGGAACTTGTCAACTTATATCTCAGGGTGACAGGCGCAGTAGCAATGCCCCTCAAATCTTGTTCCTGAACAGGGTGCATCTATTTATTCTATTAGCAAGGAAGCACAAAAGGTAAGTAAAAAACTACTTTCAAAATTATTTTAAAGATAGTTTGTGTTAGTTAGATTTATACTACTAGGTATTCGAGAGGTGTTCAACTTCTATAACGAAAAAACACAGACGCTCGCAATCACAGTTTTTACGCACAAAACCGTAACAAACATACAATAACAAAAACAAAGAAACTACAACAGTTATAACTTGTCATTAAAAGAAACCGACCTAAAAAGTTAGTGGAATTATATCCATTTGCCAAGTTTTATTGAAATCGGTTACCGGAAAGTGCGCGAACCCGGATTCATCCCCTAGTTTGCCACCCTTTAGAGGGTAGAGGTGGAATATGTTCTGGAAATTTTATTTTAATTTAAAGCTCTAAGTAACACTGCTTCTGCTATGGACAGGCGTGTCGCATATCACCAGGCGCACGAGTTGAAACAATCATAGGTCGCGTTTACGGAGAGTGAAGTATGTGTATATATGTATAAGAGATTAACATACTTACACTAACGTCACAGTACATTCATGAAAATGTTATTGATATTAAGAAAAATATAATTTTTTTATGAAAAATAGTGACAGACATAACATTTCCTATCCACAACTGAGGAATAGAAATAAAGTAACCGTTCTTGACAGTCGCCTTCTTAAAGTCTCAAATTCATTTAAGGGACAATGCGCTTCTTTAATAAGACTCAGATTAATATTCAAAATTTGCTATTTACGAGGTTTAAAACTATAGTGAAACAAAAATTTTATAATAAAAATTAAACAATTTTTCCGGATTTAAATCGCGTTTATTTGTTTTTTCAAACTAACCGACTTAATAAAAATTCATTCAATAAAATAATATGTAAAACTTCATGTAGCGTAAATTGGAATGTTTTCTTTGTAAAATTAAAAATAAGGTATATAATTAATAACTATTGTAACTATAGTGAAAAAATAGGGTGGTTTGCATTAATATTAGACATAACTGGTTGAAGACTACCACCTCAGTCAACCGTGACCATGGGACCTGTAAAGGGCCCGAAACGTCGGTTTGTTTGAAAAAACAAATATACGCGATTTAAATCCGGAAAAATAGTTTCATTTCCTATGTGTAACAATCGCGAAAACCTAAGAACTCGATTTATAATAAAAGTTTTGTTTTATTATAAAATGTTGTTATTTATGATAAAAGACAGCTTCTGCGTACTTAGATGATAAATATCCGTGGTGACCTGTTTAGCGCTTGCAGGTAGTCTCGATCTAAGATGTTTAAATTAAACATTGTAATTATAAGTGTATTCAAATAAATGTAGTATATATTTACAAAGAGCCACTCCTAGACTTTCTTGCTCATTGTTCTCAGGGGATTCTGCCTTACCAATGAGCAGTAGAGTGTAATCAGTATGACGATATCAAGTGTAATTTGCTTACTTATGAAATATACCAAGTAAGTTTAACATAATTCTACAACGACTTGTTTTCTCCTATGCAGCGGTTTCGTTAAGCTCCAATCAATCTAGGCTACTTTTGTTGTACGGCCATCAGTTTTTACGTCGACTTTCAATAGGGAATTGTTTTAACCAATTACTAAGAGAAATGTAGGGTACTGTTTTATAGCTGTTTACGGTTTATTGTGTAGCGGCGAGGCAATTATGACCAGTTAGGTAACTTAATATTTCTACGGTCATTAATATTGTTTCGGTTGATTTTACTGGTGGTGTAAGAATAAAGTAAAATGGGAAATCAGAATACTGTTATTGGTTTATATCTTGTTAGTACAATTTAATGTTAGTGGCGCTATGGGCTCGGTGAGTCGTAGTGGACGGTGTGTTCGCAACCTTTTTGTTGTCCCCAGAGCGAGCACTTTAAAGGGTTTCAAGGCGCCAACCACCGGGGCAATTATCATTCTATATGAGATTCTAGCATACAACCAGATTGTTGTTGTGTTTGTGGACAATTTGTCTCAACTCGTAGGTGCAATAGCACGCTACGTAAACTTAAATTATTATAAAACTAGGTAGTCTTTAATTTTTAACCGATTTCAAAAAAGAAGGAGGGTCTCAATTCAATTGAATTTTTTGTATTCTACCTCTAATGGTGGCAAACTAGGGGATGAGTCCGGTTTCTCGCACTTTCCGGTAACCGATTTCAATCAAACTTGGCAAATCGATGTAATACCATGAACTTTTGAGGTCGGTGATTATGTAAAAATTATTATTATTATGGTATTAGCAGTCGTTGTGAATGAATCCGATGGTGATGGTGGTGGACAAGGTTGAGCAGTCTTCTTGATTATTATACCGGCAAACAGTAAGATATGTACCTGATGGAATGCGGTAACCGGTACCGATGGACACTTCGCCAACTTAATTTTTGGACTTGTTCTGGTTTTATAGGAAATGAAGCTATTTTTCCGGATTTAAATCGCGTATATTTGTTTTTTCAAGCAAACCGACGTTTAAAAAAACAAATATACGCGATTTAAATCCGGAAAAATAGTTTCATTTCCTATGCGTAACAATCCCGGAAACCTAAGAA